GATAACTAAATTCGAATTTAAAAGGGGGTTAATTCGAACGAAAACCTGATCTTTTCAAATCCTCAAAAATCCCGAAAATGAAAAGATCAGGTTTTCGTTCGAATTAACCCCCTTTTAAATTCGAATTTAGTTATCAGACGAGGCGGAACGGGACAAATCCCGTAAATTAAAGACTTCCGCTTGTGCCCGTTTATTTCCACTTTCTCCCCGCGACTCCCCGTGTGATAACGTCCTCAGACAAGGCACAAGTGAATTCAGTGTATTGCTTGTATACTGTTAAATAAACTTTGAGAAATTGACTTTGTCACCTTCCAGTATACTTGCTGGGCCCTTGGAAAAAATTGATTTTGCTAGAGGGCCATGGGGCTCAGCCATTCCTTCCAACAGTGTTTTCTCTCTCCAGGTATGTTGTGGTATAACATCCCTCCAAGGGGACATTGGAGAAGGGAAATATTGCCCCAGAGTCGGCATGGAGCACTGTTGCCACTTGATACGGTGACAAAATGTGTTTTTTAATCAAAGAACGAAAAAATCTAATCAATATTAAAAGCAAATCTGTTGCTTCTGATTTTTTTAAAAAATGAATTTTTGCACCCCACCAGATTGTGTTTTTTCCCTCACCTTTTCCCCATTCATTGAACAATGGGTCCAAAAAATCCCCCTGGAATATACGCCTCAGCACTCGTTTATATTTAAGGCTAATAATACCTCTTATCTCAATTAGTTTGTGTCAGAAATGTAAAAAAAAATTGTCTGCTTGTTTGCCAGAAAGTTCCTTTGTATTTCAAATGCCTCTCTACAATTGTTCAGCGTTGCTAATCATCCATTGGTAGTAAAGGGGAGGGGAGCTTCAAAAAAGACTTAAACATCATATTTGAAAAATCAGACTCCAGCCCTTTGCCTCAGCAGTCCATCTATGAAATGAGACTAATAATAATAGTGGACCTTGTGGGTGTTCCATGAAATAAAACATGGGGTAGCTCTAGGAGTCCTATGGCCAAAAGAGAACGGCAAGGTGAAATGACACAAATTCTTTGAAATATACAGTTCTTTGAGATGATGATGACTATGAGTGGAGTCTACCACAGGATGGGATGCTCCTGCTGTTCAGGGTGCCAGCCAGCCATGCCCATTCCAATGCCCTTCCCACTGGCTGCTTCACTTCCAAAGAGACACGCAGTAGTCTGTGGCTTATGGGTATGCTCAGTCTTCATTACTCAAGGAGATGTTGCTTTCTCCTAAAGATGGTCTGTACTTCTGCCAACCTTGGAATTTGCCCAAAGATACCTCTTGGAAGTTAATGTGTTGGAAGCTGAGGTTGTAAATGATATGGAGAAAGTGAAGATGGGGGTGTGTTTTTTCAGAATTTTAGCACCTGGGATCGTATGTTGAAGGTGGTGAGAGATTCAGGATAGATAAAAGGAATTGCTTCTCCACATAGTGAAGAACTGAAGTGTGTTTCTGCAGGATGTAGTAATATTGGCCTGGTGCCACTGCCACACATACATTGGGGACCGGGTCAGCTTGTTGGCAAAGTGGAGTAGGTTTCTAGGCCTGCAGGCCTGTCCTGATCAAAACTGCCATCTGAATTGCAGCCGCCCCATACCAACAAATGCATTAAAGTGGCTATGCCAGTATATACAAGCCTGGACCCAATACTCCATGAAGCATCACTGCCACCGGCTAGTAAGTGGCAGAAGTAGGTGTCAACAGTTTAGAGTGATGCTGGCAGGAAGATACCCTCCACAAACTCTAAAGCCTGACCACCATTATGCCATTTTGCTGCTGTTGTCTGTTCACCTGCCTTCAAAGTGAGTAAACAGTGAGAGTAGACAAGAGGAAGAGCCAGTAATTCATACATACCTTGTCCTCCCTCTCTGGGATGTAGTTTGCCCCTTCCCAGGGGTTGGAATAGGCAAGGATATGAACAGTGGCAAACTACAAGAACTTTGTGTGATGGCAGTAGGAGCCCTCGCGGATGTGGGCCCTTTAGGTGTTCCAAAACCTCGACCTGACAGTGTACAAGCCATTGCTTCTCCCAAGTTTTCCAAAGCACCTTGGCCACTTTCTGGGCTGAGTAGTGAGCTGTGTGTTTTTCTCCCAAGGAACTGTGTGTTTTACAGCATGTGATGTGATGTGACCTGGAAAATCTAGTATGCAAGGGGATCCTTTGAGACTATGTAGAAGAAGTTGTAGCATAAGCTTTTGTAGACTTGGTCTACTTCCTCAGATGCATGGTGTTTTTCACTCTCTGCATCCGAGGAAGTAGACCATGTCTACGAAAGCTTACGCTACAACTTCTTCTACATTGTTAGTCTCAAACAGGGGTAGGCAACCTTTCCCCTTTAAGGGCCGCGGGACTTCAGCTCCCAGAAGCCTCAGCTATGTTGGCCAATAGTCCCATGTTGGCCAAAAGCTCCTGGGATTCTGGGAGCTGAAGTCCCTCGGCCCTTAAAGGGGAAAGGTTGCCTACCCCTGGAAGGTGCTACAAAGATCCCTTCGCAAACTGACTAGGAGGGAAGTTCTCATTGGTCTTGCAAACTGACTTTCTAGATGAATATGGCTATGTCTCTGAATTCTACCCTTCTGGGAAATCTCGTTTGTTTGTTTTTTGTCTCATTCTGCCCTTGCTTCCTTTTTCTGGCTCTTGTTAAGCATTTCCACCCATGGAATATAGCCATTTTTCAACACGATGATCCTGATGGATTAGTTTCTATTGTATGCCTGCTTGCCATATAGCATCAAGTACAGCAGCGCCTCCCGTGGTCAAAGGTGGACAAACCATTTGACAGCATTTTTGGAAGCTTTCAGAGTTAGAAATCCTCCCATTGTTTGGCACCAGTGAGAACTTCCCTCTTCCTAGAGCTAATTGTAGAGTCAGGAAAAGATGGATTTCCCTTGGAACATAAAAAAAAAAAACAACCCTTCCCGCAACCACATTCTGCTCCTGCTTCTCTCTCCTCCCTCCAGTTTATCAGAGCATCCTCATCTTCTTTCCAGAAAAGCTGGGAAATGCAACCACACTTCTCCTGCTTTGTGTTGTTTTGGCTTCTGGGGGAGAGAAAGTTGCATCTGTAAGGACATAAGAATAGTTCTTCTGGATTAGATTAAAGTCCTACTTAGCTCATCATTCTGTTCCCATGGAGGCCAACTGTTGTATGAAGAGGCTGTGGCTACTGATGGCAGACTGGGGCCTTCTTTTCCAAGAATTTGTCTAATCTCTTTTTAAAGCCATCCGTGTTGACATCACAACATCTTGCAAAAGTGAATTCTCTAGTTTTCACTGTATTGAATAAAGAGTTTGTTCTTTTTATCTGTCCTGCAACTCCCAAATATCTTACTCCATTGGATAACCTAGTCTGCCATAATAAATATGTGAAGCTTTTAAGGCACCATGAGATGATGATGTTGCTTACTGCAGACCTACTTGTCCCCCCCCCCCCGCCGGCCACATACACAAAATATTTCAATGCCTTAGTGGGGCAATAACTAAGGCTGCATCTGCATGGCAGAAATAATCCAGTTTGACGCCACTTTAACTGCCATGGCTCAGTGCTAAGGAATTTTGAGAACTGTAGTTTGTTGTGGCACCAGAGCTCTCTGCAGAGAAGGCTGAATGTCTCACAAAACCACAGTTCCCAGAATTCTGTAGCATTTAGCCATGGCAGTTAGAATAGTGTCAAACTGGGTTGTTGTTTTTTTTCCTGCAGTGCAGATGCAACCTAAGTCATCTTTTGACTTAAACCGTTCTTAACTCCCATAACTAAGGGGTGAAGAACCTTTGGCTTTCCAGATGTTTGGGACTTAACACCCAGAAGCCCCAACCAACACAGCCTAAGGCTACGAGATTATTGAAGTTGTATTTCCAAACTTGGCCGGCGCAACGTTTTCCCACCCCTGTTTTCAGTCCTCTTCTCTTAAATTTCTCCTTCCATGCTACAATCGCTCAGCTCCCACCTGGCTCCTTGCCCTGCCTCACCCAACTACAGCTCCAATGGAAACATTGTGCATGGCTCTTTCTCTGCCAAGCTGTGCTATATAAAGATGAGGAACACTGTGAAGAAGCCTGAAACAATGTAGGGGGGAAATAATAAATTTGTATTTTCCCTGCTCTGGAGGGGAAAAGTTCACACAGGAAACATCGGACTGTAAAGTCAAGCTGTTTGTTCAGTGAAACGGTAAAGCAGTGACTTTGCCCAAAGGAAACCCTATGGAGGCTCAGAATGGAGAAGAATTTCTTTTGGTTCACGTTTCAGTGAGAAATCCCCAGATCCACATTTTCCAAATCAATATACAAATTGGGGGAGCAGTTACCCTTTAGCGTCTGCGTTTAGAATTTTGTGATGTGGTTTTCCAGCGCTACATGCACATATTAGAGGAGAGTGCAAGCTAGTGTGTGCTTTAAAAATGGGAATATTAGCCACATTTCCAGAAAAGGTGAGCATATTAGCATGATTATTTTACAGAGTATATTAGACTGTCTTGCATAAAAACCACAGGTATATCATTTGAAATGTGGTGCTGGAGAAAGAAGAGTGGTGAGGACCAGAGCTCTCCTTGGAAGCTAAGATGATCAAGTTGAGACTGTTGTACTTTGGCCACATCATGAGAAGGCATGGATCACTAGGAAAAACAATAATGCTAGGAAAGGTAGAGGGTAGAAGAAAGAAAGGAAGACGACAAACAGATGGATAGACTCGATCAGGGGGGTTATGGGCAAGGGCTTGCAGGATCTGGCAAGGCAATGGAAGATAGGGATTCTTGGAGATGTCTCATCCACAGGTTCACCATGAATCAGCTAACAACAACAACAATGTTAGGAAGCTGTGCACACATCATACAAAATTTGAGGTTCTAAAATTGTTGCGGAAACAGGAGATGACTAACTCAAAATGGGAAAAATTAATAACGGAGAGAAACCAAACTTGTCTGATTCATGCATCCTTAGAGGAGGTTTTACGCATCTCATGTCTCGGCACTTTGATCCGCTGTGTCTGACAGCCAGCATGGTGTAGTGGTGTGAGCATTGGACTATGACTCTAGAGACCAGGGTCCGATTCCCAGCTCAGCCATGAAACCCACTGGGTGATCGTTGACAAGTCACAGTCTCTCAGCCACAGAAAAGTGGGCAAAAATAGCCCCAATGCCTCTCAATGTTACTATTAGAATAGAACAAAATCTTTATTATGGGTTGTAGACCAACAGAGATAAAAAGGGGATACGGAAGGTAAACGGTACAGAAGGAGGTAAAAACACAGGTTAAAACAGAATAGAACTCACTGTCAGTACTCGCTGTCTATTTTGACAAGATGGTGAGACATAGCACAGTGCTTCCAGTCAACGGTACACAATTCTGAGGGAAAAGGAGAGGAAAAAGGCGCTCCGAGGGCACAAACCCTCTTAACCAATATAGGATAAGAGGGGAATATCGGGGTCCTTTGGCATTTGCTGGAGTGGCCTTCAGAGTGTAGTTGGAATAGATGAAGAAAGATTCTGAACATTGAAGTGTTGCCTCAGGCTTTCCTTGAAAAGAGAGTGAAAAAAGTGCTGTGAGGGCAGGGGTAGGACAACCATTCCCAACCTGGAGATGCTTTTTGGATTACAGCTCCCATCATCCCATCCCAGCATGTCTTCCAGTAGCAATGGGATTTGTACTCCAACCCATCGGCAGAGTATTATGTTGCTCTAAGAATTTGTGAAAGGCCCCTTTCATAAGCAAATTTATCTGAGTGAGTTCAAACAGACAGCTCCCCTTGCAGTGTCTGTTACCTTTGGGGGGATTTCTTGCTTGCATGTTCTCTGCTAAGCTTGTGGCTCTACTCTGTAAGCCAGTTTATACCCTTCTGCATTGAAGCTTAATTTCTTTCCATGTTAGGAGTGCTAAAATCCTCTCCTCTGTTTAAGGCTTAGATATTTAAGCTGCTCTTCTAGCAGCTCCCCCCTTCCCTGGAATTGCAAACCTCATTTTTCTTTTTTAATCCTCCTTTCCTTATAGCAAGTGATGACTGGTGGCTTCCAGGTCCATGGGAATGGCGCATCCCCTCTGGGTTTTAGTCCAAACCTTGGACATACCCAGATTGCTGAACCTATTGGAAGGATAGGTTTCAGCACCTTAGGTAGCTCCTTTAAAGTTCTGACTCAAACTCTAAGCGACTTTGCCAGCACTCCAGCAGCCACTGCTTACAATGGTTCACATACTCTTTGGCTTCCAGGTTCTCTGAACCTCACCCTAACCATCGCCCATGGAATGAAGAAGCAGCCTTCCTCAAGAAATAGGGATTTTGAAAAATTATATATTATTAATAAAGATGATGATGGTGAGATTGGCAGAGAGTTTGATTTCATTGTCCCTTTATTTATTTTTTCTAAGTAATTTAACACACGTACCCTCCAACAGTTCACAGATCAGAGATGTAGAGAGATCTTGTAACACCTTTGAGACTAACTGAAAGAAAGAAATTGGCAGTGTGAGCTTTTGTAGACTAAACTCTGCTTCCTCAGATGCTTATGGACAATAGGCTTCATGCATTTGAGGAAGTAGACTTTAGTCTACAAAAGCTCTTGCTGCCAACTTCTTTCTTTCAGTTAGGGCCTTTACAGACTGCCAGAAATAATGCAGCTTGAGGCCACTTTAACTGTCCTGGCTCAGTACTAAGGAATCATAGGAATTGTAGTGTGTGTTTTTTTCTGAGACATTGAGCCTTCTCTGCCAGAGAGCTCAGGTGCCACAATAAACTACAGTTCCCATGATTCCTTAGCACTGAGCCAGGGCAGTTAAAGTGGCCTCAAGCTGCACTATTTCTGGCAGTCTGTAAAGGCCCTATGTCTCAGAGGTGCTACAAAATCTCTCTACATCTCTGATTCTACAGACTAACATGGCTATATCTTTGAATTCTTTACAGTTCAAAGCCACACGAGGGAGAACACACAAGCTAGGAGAGACTGCAGCAGTTTGCTTTTGCCTGAGCCCACTGGAAAGGGCAAGACGTCACCCCTCCTTTCCTCCCCCCCCCAGTTCGAGTGCCAACTCCTTTTGCACTTTGAATTGTGCAACAAATGGAGTAAGCCTAGAAACAAGGCATGTGCTCTCTGTGTACCTTATTTTAAAGGAAAATGTAACTTCCCTGCCCCATTTATGTTTGCTGCCACACTGCAAAATTAAACATGGATCTCCCTGGTTAAAGTCCCCTACTCCAATATAGCCTTCCCCTGCCTGGTGTACTATATATAGATGCCATTGCTCTGAAGCTCTCAGGTTCCCTGCCTGTTGATCAGGTTGGTTGAGGCTTCTGAAAGATGAAATCCAGAAGTCTCTGGCAGGCCAAAGGTTCCCTGCCCCCTGATATAAATTATAGGCATCGTTTCTAAATTTGCATTTATGCACATAAATTAATGCAATACAATTCTGTGTTCGCTTTTGACTTTTTTGGTGATGCACTTCATCTTTTTTGATAATGTGTAAAGTGCCACTCCAGAGCCTGGAAAGTTGCTTTTTAACACAGTTCATTCCTGTTAGTTTTATAGTTTGTTTTAAAAAAAAGTAACTCATTGTTGCTTGTTACATTGTTTAAGAAGTAACTCATCACATTACTCATTGTGTTGTTTCTTAGGTTGCTTTTATTGGGGGGGATCCTTAGGCTTGATAAGGGAATGGCTCAAAATGTGGAAAGTTCCTATAAAAATGAAGTGCTCTTTGAAAGTGATGTTTGCAAGACACTAGGTTATGAGACTTGTTGAACCACACTAGACACTTGTGCCTGCTCCTCGTATTGCTGTTAAAATGTAACTTAATGGTGTTATATTTTTATTTTTATTTGCCTTCTTTACAAACACACACACACCAAATAACTTGTTGCAGGTTACATTATTTGTAACTCATTACTTCTAAGTTCTGAAACGCCTGTGAAGAGCGAAGGACAGAGAGAGGGCCAGGGGAAAAGATATAGCTGGCTGTGCTTCTTCAGCTCTCAAGTCTCATAGAATCATAGAATCCTAGAGTTGGAAGAGACCACAAGGGCCATCCAGTCCAACCCCATTCTGCCATGCAGGAACTCCCAATCTCAACTCAGCTAGCCTCGGAAAGCCCTGCTCTTCATTTTGGGGCAGTGTGTCTATGGCTGCATCCGCACTGCAGAAATAATCCAGTTTCACACCACTTTAATTGCCATGGCTCA